TCTCTTCTGACTGTAGACTGGAGCAGAAAGGGCTCCTTGAAAACATACTGACGAAAGTCCTGTTTGGTGTAAGACTAAGCTTTAGTTATTCAACTGCTTTTTGTTCTCTGGACCCCAGTGATTTCTCCTTTAAATAGCTAATGCACTACCAGTGGATCTCCGTTATAATTCTCTTCTATTTCTTTGGTTCAAAGATATTCTGCTTTCTTGGACTAACTCAAAGGCGCGGCCTTGTTAGGTGTTTGGTATTTGTGTTTGGACTTTAAATCTTTGACTCTTCCTAGAAAGCTTCAGGAAGAGCGTGTACCACTTTCATATTCACCGTTTCGCCTCAAAGTATCTTGGAGATTGAACCTTGTGACTGTATCAAAGTCCTCATGACCTGTCTCTGTATCCCTGATGCTCAGATTTGTAGACATGATCAATAAAAGTGTGGACGAAAAGACGAGGCAAGTCTGCTTTCTTGGCTGAGCCTCTGAAGCATACATTTCTACCAACAGATATATGCAAATAATAGAAAAAAGCTCAAAGCTGCATTTCTATATGAGTGCCAATGGATGCAAATTTATTACTACCTGCATCTGTGTATATGTGTTTTGTTAAGATACAAAAAGAGAACTACTGGTTGGTTCATTTTCATGTTTTTAACTACTGAAGTAACAGTGTGTGGGCTTTAGAGTCAGGGTTGAGTTTAAATCGAACTCCACCAGTAACTTCGGGAAAATTACTCATCCGCTGTAAGCTTAGTTTCATTTATTTATTTATTTTTATTTTCTGTAAAAAAAAAAAAAAAAATGAGATAATAGTAACTTTTTAATTGGGTTGCTTTTAAATTAGAATGAACGTAAAGCATTTTTTTCGTTGTCAGACTGATAAATGCTTATATCACCACAGGTAACAGAAAACCAGACTAATCTTGGCGTAAGCAATAAAAGTGTTTAATTATCTCATATAACCAGATGCCTGGAGGTAGATGGTTCCAGAGTTGAGTGGCAGCTAAAATGTCATCAAGATTATCTTGGATCCATCTGCTCTGCCGTCCTTAGTGTTGCATCCTCGGACTTGCCCCAGAGCTAGGCCACATACTCATCCTTGGACCAGTCACCGGCAAAGGGGAATGAGTAGACCAGTTCATCCCCTGGCGCTGGGAATACTGTTGCTTGTAAGAAGGGGTTCTGTTAGCAGGGAAGAAGCAAGAATGGCAGCTAGATAGACAATCCATAATAGCTACCACCGTGTTCAAAAAATGTTGTAGTAAAATCATAAAGTACATTTAAGTAGTATTTTTTAAATGTTCTGTCAACTTTCATTCTACTAAATAAGCCAGTTTTAACATCTGAGTTCATATTCTTTCAGACTCCAAAATTTTCTATATTATTTGTAATGATATAAATGATATGCTATTATCTGCTTTATCTTAAAAATATATACAGTTCTTCCACGTTAATAAGCATCTTGTGTTACAGATACTTTGGAGCTAGCTAAAGGAATTAAAGATAGCTTTTAATTCTCTCAGACCTGTCCACATGGTCCAATTGAATTGAGCATTAACCCTAGGTTCTTTAAAAGAAAAGAGACTTATTTCTTAGGCATAGCGCACAGCGAAGAAAGTAGCATGCACAGTTTGTTCATCCTGTGCTCCAACCACCAATCCTAGGGCAGGATATTTCCAGAGCTGGGACTGTGG